AAAAGAAATTAAAATAATGAATAAGTGATAGGGTAGGGTGTAGGTGTTTTAGTTAAAACAAAAGGGAAAAGAAATGGTTTTAAATTTTAAAAAGTGAAGATAATGGTGGGGCCCACGTGAAAGGAAAGAAAGAATGAGAGAGGGTGTAATGGGCGGCAACAAGTATATGTTTCAAAATGGGTGGAAAAAGATGATTTTGGGATTGGCTAAAATATGTTGGCCTTAATAGGGGAATGCTAACGTGTGACGTTTTTAATAAAACGGTGCGCACTACACTGGAACAAATTTTGCCAATGCTTTGTGCAATTTTTATAGACCCCTGGGTCCGATTTTTACACTGTTCAAATATAATTTGCGCAAACCTTCATCATTTAAGCTTGATTAAAAATATTTGGTTGCTAAAAAATAAATGAAATTCCCTCAATCAAAATAAAATAAAATAAATGAAACAAAATTAAAAATGGTTTACCTCCCATAAAGCGTTTTTATTTAACGTCGTTAGCTCGACGATCTGGTTCAGACTACATGTTCTAAGAGAAATACTTCATCCACTTTATACGCTTTCCAACTAAGTATTTCCTTATGAGAAATTCTTCAGATCTTTTTTACTTTTGAAAGCTTATCCAAAATAACTGGTGGAGTAGTATTTTCTCATAAAAAGGCACTCTTTAAGTTTTTCGGCATTTGTTTCAGTTCTATCTCATGTGCCTGCAAAACAGAAGGCAGAACTTTAGTCTTAGAAAGAATCAATTTTAAATTGGCACAATCTAAAAATATTTTTCTTAACTTCCTGATTTCCTCATAATGATCTTCTAACTCCCTGCATAGATCAAAAGAAAAAATAGTTTCTACAAACTCATTTTCCAATGGATCAATAATACCAACATAATTTATCTTCTCAACTTTGTCAGGATATCTCATTGCCTTATCACATCAAATTTAACGATCTCAACATCAAACTCCATGGTTAAAATTCCACTTCTTACATCAATTTTTGTATGCGTTATACTTAGGAAGGGACGCCCCAATAGAATATCGAAAGAAATACTGGTGTGATTATTCTCCATGTAAATTACATAAAACCAGCGGGAAATATTAAGTCGTTTACCTCCACCGGTACATTTTCTAAGAGTCATTCCGGGTAAATGACAGATCTGTCAGCAAGTTGAATTGATAGTTTTGTATCCTTTAAAGGATCATTAGTAATCATATTGTAAACAGAGCGAGGCATTACATTATTAGAGGTGCCAATATCACACATGGCTCATTTTATCCTAACTTTACCAATTTTACAGGGTATTACGAACATACCTTGGTCTTTCAGTTTTGGTGGCAACTTTCGTTGGAAAATAGCTGAGACATGCTCTCCCAAATTTACCTTCTCGATCCAGTAAGCTTCCTCTTTATTGTACAAATAAATCCATAACATCTAAGAATTAACAAGCAAATAATATCGATTTAGAACATTTATCAATCCTGTGAAGATGTTTCATTTTCCTGTTAAGATTTTTAATCTTTGCAATCAAGTATTAGAATACCCTATAGGGATAATAATTGGTATGTTAGCATGTTGATGTTCATATTTAAGTAGATGTTCAAGCATGTAATGGGACTTGAGATGCCTAAAACTTAGCTTGTGTGTATTTGTGAATTTGTACTAGTCATAAATAATTAATAAGGCATGGTACACTTGCTAGAGTTGTTAATGGGCAAAAATGATATATCTGACTAGGTGAGTTCTTAAAAAGTGACTGAAAATGCATAAATGGACTTTTAATCCATTTGACATTCTCAAATGTGAATTTTATAATGAGATGATGATTTATGTATGACATGTTATATGTATATCAATCTATGTTCATTAACACTAAGATTAATAAGCCGCATACTTCAAAATATCCTTAACAAATAAACGTTAAAACATAAAGTACACAAGTCTCTAATTGATAAAGAGGCCTTTCAAGATAAATTCCACCATTCGAAAACACTGGACCGTAATAGCTTAGTGAATCCAAAAGCCACAAAGAGATTATCGTCACTCTTCGTTACTAAATCACACCATGGGCAGCAGCACATCAAAGTATCCAAATAAATCACCTCCATAACAAAACCGCCTTAGTCGGAACCCGGTTGATGATCATCATTGAAAGAAAACTTTGGATGCAAGGAGGGAGTTTTAGCTTCCATATTACATCAAAGTTAAAACATGGATCCTCAATTGCATCATTTACCAGCTTTGCACTATGTTTTTTAACATAGAAATGTCCAGCCTAACCATGAATCTATCAAAGTTAAAGTTCGTTACAACTTTAATGACAACTAGTTTTAAACAAAAGTGGCTCTCAGAAGTTTAGAATTTCTATGCTTATGAGCATATAGTTCTCATACCATTGGGAATGTTGTGGAAAATGCATCATAATTAGGTTTTCCTCTGTTCCTTACACTATGTCCTAGAATGCTTCAAGAATTCATTAATAATATCAGGACTAAAATTAAAGTATCATGAACATAAGATTATGCCCCTGCAGTTTTGTTTGACACCTAAAGTAAAGAGGGGACCTAAAAAATTATACGACGTCAAGGAGGGCTGAGAAGGAGAGACTTAAGAAATGAGAGGCCACTGATGAAAAACATAAGAATCTGATGAATAATAATAAAAGGGTCAAAGTGATAATGAATTGACATGAGTGATCACAATATAAATTTTCATAGTTGGCGGCAACAAGATAAACTTAGACATACATTAGTGACAAATACTATATTTTACCCTATATTATTTTAATTTACTTTTTCATAGTACACCAAGGCTCCACGTGCGTAATTAATTAAGAAAATGAATATTTGGTGAATGGGGTTGATTTGGTATTAAAGAAATATGAAGAAACAAAATAGATATCCCACGTTTTAATTTCTTCCAATTTTAATGTTTCATTTGTTCATTTTGTTTCCAGGCTTTTTGCGGCGTTTGTTTTTACCTATAGTGGCATTTTTAAGCGCCGCAAAAAACACCTTCGGTGTTATGACAAACGCTACAAAAAGCGTCGCTAAAGATCGCGGCGTTTGTTAATGAAAAATGCCGCAATAGGTAACGATATATAGCGGCGTTTGTTCAACAAATGCTGCAATAGATAGACAAACGTCGCAATAGGTGTTGAGATTTAGCGGCGTTTTTATCATAAACGCCGTAATAAGTGTTGAGATTTAGCGGTTTTTTATGAAAACACCGCTAAAAGGATGGTATATAGCGGCGTTTTTAGGATACAAATGCCGCTAAAGATTTGGTATATAGCGGCGTTTTTAAGATAAAACGCCGCTATAGGTCTAGTACATAGCGGCATTTTTAGGATACAAACGTTGCTAATGGTCTGGTATATAGCGGTGTTTTTAGGATACAAACGACGCTAAAGGTCTGGTATATAGCGGCGTTTTTAGGATACAAACGTCGCTAAAGGTATGGTATATAGCGGCGTTTTTAGGATACAAACGCCGCTAAAGGTCTGGTATATAGCGGCATTTTTAGGATACAAACGCCGCTAAAGGTCTGGTATATAGCGGCGTTTTTAGGATACAAACACCGCTAAAGGTCTGGTATATAGCGGCATTTTTAGGATATAAACGCCGCTAAAGGTTGGTATTTAGCGGCATTTTTATCAAAAATGTCGCAATAGGTGTTAATATTTCACGGCATTTTTTTTATACAAATGCCGTTAAATGTATGATATATTGCGGCGTTTTTTTATTACAAACGCCGCTAAATAACATAAAATTTAACCAATTAAAAAATTATTGTCGATTACCCCAAATCTCTTTTTTCATTGTGTTCCATTATCCAACAAACATGACAACAATAACATCAAACTCTATATCCATAACATGCAACATCAAATCCAATATAATAAATAAAAGTTTTCATTAACATAATATAAGTTCAGTTGAACATGGTTCAGTAACATTAACAGAATGCTGATAACATAAATGAAACTATGATGGTGGATTTTGAGGTTGAGTTTTCTATATCATCTGCATCATATCATTGAGTCGTTTTTCAAATTCTTCACATCTCTGTTAATATGCTGCTTCTCTCTGTGCTGCCGCTTCTTTTCTCTGTGTTGCCACTGCTTTTCTCTGTGTTGCCTCTGCTTCTCTCTGTACTTCCGCTACTGCTCTGGCTGCTTCTGCTGATGCTCTCTCTGCTTCCCTTGCTTCATTTTTCGCTTTCATGTTAGCCATTTGTTGATCCATCTCAGCCAACTTTTGTTTTAAGCGACTAACTTCTAATTGGGAATATTGAGAATGTGATGATATGTACTGTGATGAACTGGATCCAAAATATTTGGTGGGAGTAACAAATGATCCTTGAAAGTGCACCCATCCATATCTTTCAGGACCCAAAACATTATTAATAGCTCAGTTTCAATGTCATCATCATTAACAAGACATTGACTCGAACTAGTATCATGATACTCTGCCCTTTTCTCCCTCAATTTTTCCTAATAATAAGGTGAATAATTAATTAAAATAAAAAATGCCATGGTACAAATATAAATAAAGTCAGGTAAATTTAAAACATCTACCCAATAAACGTACCATAATTTCTGCAGCTTCAGCAGTCATAGGAGTGCGCCATCATTCTTCGTATGTGTCATGTTGGATTCGGCCAACTTTAGAAGCAGATGTATTTTCCTACAATGTACCATAATATAATTACTATGAGTTAGTATGTATATGGAATTCAAAAAACAATTTCAATAATCTATAATACCTCCTCATTAGCTATACAAGCAAAGCTCTTCGATCCAACCGTGTGCGTAAACCTTTGTTGTTGCCTGCTAGCAACACCAACATGCTTTCGGTCCTACAATGTCAAACAACCACTTTTAATGATGATTTATAATTCGTTACAATTATTTCTGAAAAATACATCATACCTGCCCTTTTTTTGAACTCCAAAATCTGAGTGCATCTTCCCATTTGTACCTGAACATTCCAAGTGGGAATGTTTGCAGCTTCTCTTCAAGGCTGAGATCATTCTTGAAGTATTTCTTCTTTAAGGAGATCTTGTGGTCCTTCTATCTCTTCCCTAAAGTTTGCTTCATATAATCGTCAGAGACCTCTAAAGAAAATTTATCCTATACAGAAAATAAGTGTGCACCGTAAGTATACATTAATATTGAATTTCTATAGAGTATATACTAATAATGACATTATTACCTTAATAAATTCCAACACCTGATTTTTGTTACTATTAGGCATTTCGCTCCATGACTCATTATTGATCGGTAACATATTCACATTAAGTCCAACTATGCCTAAGTAACCTGCTAGAAGACGTGCTTCTGGGCTAATAGGTTGACCGACATCATTTCTTGAAACTTTGACACGAGTCCCAGGAGGAAGTTGATATAATTCCTTTAAAGTTGTACGTCCTTGAGTCTTGCGCGTTCTAGCATTTTCAACTATATAAGAAACTATTAAATGTCAGTTTTGAAAATGAAGAAATTAGTAAATAAAGTTTCGAAGTTTACCTTGAATTTATACTTCTTCTTCAACAGTTTCAGGAACTTCAGAAGACTCATGTGCATTCAATTCCTCATTATTTCTTTCTCCATGGTCTTCAAAAGCTCGAACAACCCATAAATCAGTTATTTTTCTCCTCGGCATGATATTTGTAATAAACAAACATGTGTAATAAAAAACGAATTAATTAGTGAACATATTAAAAGACAAAATGTTAAAGGTTATAATATTATAAATAAATAAATGAAGATATAAAATCGTATGACATTCTTATGTAATGTCAGTTTTCATAAATATCTCCATCAACATCCTCCCGAAGCCACTAAAATTATGTTGTATTTATGACAGTTTCATCTAAGTTTTGTGGTAGTAGAGATAAACATTCTGATCTTGTTTCAATTTCATCTCTACTTCCATCCCCGATGTCTATCAAGTCTCTAGGAGTATTTCGGAGCACAACATACCAACCGTCATCCATTGAATCGTGACAATAAAATACTTGTTTCACTTGAGAAGAAAATACATATGGTTCATCCATCAAATGTTGACCCGTGTGAATTAATCGAGAGAAATTCACCTTTGTAAACCCGAATTTATCTCTTTTTATGCATCTGTTTACATCAACCCAGTCACACCGAAACATCACAACCTTTTGTTTTCCATAATAATCTAACTCAATAACTTCCGTAAGATTTCCATAATAATCGACCTCTCCCTCCTATGGATTATTGTCCCTGACAGTAGCATAACTTGTAGTTGACGAAGTTACTATGACACTACAATTTTGTGTCCTCCTTAATCTTTCATGAGATTTCATGTGGAACCTGAACCCTTTAATGAGGAAAGCATTATATCTTTTAACTATTCTATTCAGACCTTGAGAAAGTCATTTAACATCTTCACTACATTCTCTCCCATCTTGTTTCAACATCTTCCAAATATCTAGAGTAAAATGGCATACATTCCTCTACCAAATACCCTTCAGTAATTGATCCTTCTGGATAACGCTTATTACGACAATAAGACTTCAACTTGCCTAAGAACCTATACACAAAACAACATACTACATAAATACATTTTATTAAAAGGTATAATCAGTAGTAATTTGAAACATGTAATTCAATTAACACATCTCTATTGGGTACATCCATCGATAGAAAATTGGTCCACCAACTCTTGCTTCGTGAGGAAGATGAATTAGCAGATGCACCATAATTGTGAAGAATGAAGGCGGAAATATCTTCTCCAAGTTGTATAAAGTCAAGGTGACTCAATCTTGTAGTTTATCAAGTTCTTCAACCATTAGAACTTTCCCACATATGGCTTTCATTATATTAGAAAGTTCAATGATACAAGACATCACCTTATTGGGCATGCAACCGCGAACAACTACTAACAGTAAATCTTGCATTAATATGTGATAATCATGTGACTTTAAACCTTAAAGTATTCGATCTTTAACACTGACACATCGAGAAATGTTTGATGCATACCCATCTGGGACCTTTATATCCTTCAACACCGTGCAAAACACTTCTTTTTCTTTCTTCGAAAGAGAAAAAATAGAAGGTGGCAAGAAATATCTTACATTCGGATGTAATTGCGGATGAAGATCATGCCAAATCCAATGTCCACTAAGTCAAGTCGACTCTTAAGATTATCTTAAGATTTTCTGCCATCATTCAGAATGGTCCCGATAATATTCTCACAAACATTCTTCTCAATATGCATTATATCAAGATTATGTGTCCAAATCTACTTTTTCCAATAAGGCAACTCGAAGAATATACTCCTCTTTTTCCACAAGCCTACCTCATTTGGATCAGCCTCTTCACCAGACTCATCATCAATTTGTTCGTCAACTTTAACCTCTTCATTAACCTGCTTTGCCTTTTTCTTTGATCGTGTACTACTTGCATGATTCATCTTTCCATAAGTAAAATTGATATTTTTCAACATTTTGAATATTTTAGAGCCGGTTGTTTGGTCAGGAGCATTTTGAAACTCTTCATCACCATAAAACATATTCTTTTGACATTTAAATCTATGATTATCAGGTAACCACTGACGATGTCCCATATAAGAGAACTTCTTTCCATTAACCAACCACTTCGAACATGTTTGTATAGCACAACAAGGACAAGCATAACGACCTTTGGTAGTCCAACCAGATAAATTTTCATACGCAGGAAAATCGTTAATTGACCATAATAAAGTCGTGCATAAATTAAAGTTCTCATTTATCAACACATCGTACGTTTCGACCCCTTCCCATAACTGTTTCAACCTGCAATTAGCGGCTGCATGTAAATATCAATATTATTTCCGGGGCCTTTCTCGCCGAGGATTATCATGGATAAGATGAAAGATGATTATTTCATGCAAATTCAGGGAGGTAAATTGTATGGAACAAGTACAACAGGCCAAGTACTATACGAAGTACTCATGATTTTGAATGGATTAAACCCATCAGTTGCAAGACTGAGCCTGACATTTTGAGGATATCTCACAAAACTTGGATACTTGTTGTCAAATGACTTCCAAGCTAAAGAATCCACAGGATGCCGTAATAATCCATCATCGGTTCTGCCTTCATGATGCCACCTCATAGACTCAGCAGTCTTGGAGGACATAAACAATCTTTGTAGCCTTGGTATGAGAGGAAAATATCGTAGACGCTTGACCGGTTTCTTTCTTGATCGTGCTTGAGCTTCATCCTCAGTAACATTTTCTGCCTCTCTAATCATCCATTGAGATTTTCCGCATACATGACAATAGTCCTGATTTTTTCGATCACCCCAATACAACATACAATCATTCGGACAACTATTAATTTTGTCATATCCAAGACCCAAATCTTTTATCATTTTCTTCATATATTTTCATGATTTAGGGAATTTTGCAAAAGGAAACACTTCTCCTAGTAACTCCAACAATTGCGTAAAGGAGTTACCAGTCCAACCTCCCATGCATTTTAAGTGGAAAAGACGAATGCATAAAGAAAGCTTTGAAAACTTTGATCCCTCATAAAGTTGTTCATTCATTTCATTCAGCAACTTGTAAAACTTTGTTGCTTCTCCATTTGGCTCTTCATCACTTTCAATTCTTCCCATCTTAGTGAAATCATTAACATCATTATGACAATAATTTTTTGTAACATACGGCTGATGAGTGTGCATATTAAATGCATCTCGTAACATCCCTTCTCTAAAAGTTGGATGGTGAGAAGGAGCATGATAAGTCGAATAACTCGTGGATGCAGATCTATCTGATACAAAGTCTCCATGAAAGATCCATTTTCTATACCCCGAACAAATCCAAAAACAACTAGATGCTCGTACACAACTTCACGAATGTGAGAATTAATGTTCACACAATTCTTACAAGGGCAAAGAATCATATTCTCTTGGCTTGCATTCAAAAAAGCTAAATTTAGAAAGTTTTCGACTCCATTTCGATATTCGACGCTTACCCTTGAGAAATCCATCCAACTTTTATCCATTTCGTATTTCTGGAGTTTCAATTTCAAATGTTAATTGCTAATATTATAGATAAATTTAGAACCTAAACAGAAGCATTAAACTATCAGATTTAGTGCATAATAATATTTGCATAGTATAGAACTAATCACTCCTAATATTTGCATATTAATATTTTCATAAGAGTAATACTATGTTACTTATCATCAACATATTGACCATGTTTTCAATAAGCTCCGTAAGATTTCGAGGAATTCATTAAACAGTATCTACGTATACTAAGATTTCCTAATATCAATGAAGTTGCAGTGAAGAATCTTATTGGTGTCAGAGTGGCATGTGAAACTATGAGGGGGTAACGTTTTGGTTAACAGAGATAGGGAATTAGATTCCAACCCCACCACCCACCATTTTCTTCACTGTTAACTATATCTAAATCTTTAAATTAATTATTATATGCATGTAATAAATCATGTACTACTTATTCTATTAGTTAGTGTCATGCATGCAAAGCAAAGTGATAAGGTTTTCTAATAATGCGTATATAGAAGTAGAAAACTACATGCATGTAGGGGGAGATAAACTACTACAAGAAGTAAAACAAAATGGATGTGCAAGATATTTTTAATATTACGTTTATTATTAATGATACTAACTACTCTGATTGAATTAGATTAATAAGGCTAATTAATCACTAAAGAAATAGCATTAAAGGGGGAAGATAATGGGGGTGTCGTTGGTATTTGGCCTTTTCTGCACTGTTGAAATCAGCCTTATTTTTATATATATTACGCAGTGGGACCCTACGGCCTTGGCTAGTTGTGGCATTGGAATCCCGACCATTGCATCTCATTAGAAAAAGGAGAAAAGAAAAGAGTGATTTTGATTTTCCACTTTGTCGCCATGATATTAACTTTTAAATGTCATTAAAAAAGAGAGAGATGCCTATTTTTTCTACATTTGGAAATTAGAATTACTTATTAGTTTACATTCATATAGCAGGTTCAGTGATTTATGTTATTGTTATTCTTTTAGTTTTTCCTTCTTCTTTCCCTCTTTCCCTTCAAGTTTCTCATGTGTAGTTGAGTGTATTCATGTCATACATGTGAACATGATGAAATTTTCAATTGTTTCTAGGACTTCTGATCATATTTTGTTTCTCCTGCCACAGGATAGAAGACTACGTAGTTCTAGGGGGAGAGCAGCAGTTCGTGATCATGTCTCTATTGTATCAAAGGTATTTACTTGATGTTAAGAAGAAAAAAAAAGAATTATTGCATAAAGTTGTTGTGAGGCCTTGGTGAAATTCAGACTTGTCTACTTGCTCAAATGTCTTGCTTATTGTATGTTTTTCCCTTGTTGATTTGGCTATTTTCCATCGGACAGAAGAGGAGTCAAAGTTATGAATAATTCCAAGAAATGTATGTTTCTAACTGAAGTTGGCCGTTGCAGGGCAGAGTAGCTGCTAATAGCTGTTATCAGGGTGGAACTGTAGATTAAACACTCATCAGCCAATTTAGTTTCTTGCAAGGTTGACACAGAAACAGACCTAAACATATTCAAGTTATAACTTTGCAGGTTCCTATTCATGTTTGGCCAAGACAAATAGCTATTCAGAGACGAAATTCAGAAAAGGGGGAATCCTGAGGTTTAATAACAGCTTAGTTCATACAGTT